AGAAAGTTTTCAACTTCACAGAGTGGAGATTGGGTGGCTCTCAGCAAATTGACAGAACTCAATTTGAGGAGATGAAGGCTAAAATGACTCCTACCCAACAACAGCACCTCTATCTGGACAAAGATGGTGTTGTCAGAGTTAGGTATGGAGGATCTCTTGAAGAAGCAGAAGAATGGTACAAGAAGAACATTGTCCCAGGAAAGACCATACATGAAGGTGTCCTCAACTATTTGGACTGCAAGCTATCTCCAATATGGGCATCTTATCAAAGGTCTGGCAATCTGTTCCAAATCCGAGCTGAAATAAATGAAGAACTGCTCAGGCTTCAAAGACTAGAGGAAGAAGCTCTACAGGCAGCTAATCTGGAGAATGTGTAAGGTTTAATCTCTGTAAAACCTATCTAATAAAATCACATCTCTGCCTTCTTACTTTGAAGTGCTTTTCCTCACATACTTGTCTTTTTGCCTTCTGTTTGTGTTTGTTTATTTCTGTTATATTCTGCTATCTGAATGTATCGTACTCTTACTATTTTCCTATGCCAAGTTGCCCACCAAGATTTTAATGAAAGTTTTTAAACTTATTTTCTTATGGTGAAGGCACTTCTCTGGAAATAGTTAAAGGGTTTTGGCATCATCAAAAAGGGGGAAATTGTAAGGAATAATTGTAATTAGATTTTGATGATGCTAGATTAATTAGGACTTTAGAAGTACCCCTTTAGAAATTATGTATTAGAATTTTCCTTTGTAAAATTCTTAGATGTATTCGACTTGACAGAAGACCTTCAAGAGCAGAAGGGCTTCAAGAACAGAAGGGCTTCAAGAGCAGAAGTGCCTCTTAAGGCTTTATTGAAACAGAGGACCTTTGGTTCTCTGCTCCAGAACAGAAGTCCTCAGGATCTCTGTTAGTCTTGACTCTGACAGAACCCCTTTAGGGTCTCTGTTGGATACTCCCAACAGAAGTGCTCCAGACCTCCTCTGTTCTACTCTCAGACATAGACACCAGAAGGTCTGACACTTAGAAGATTTTCAAAGAACCGGGAAGTCAACTAAAAGATTCCTTCAACGGCTAGGAGTATGAAACGGAAAAGCTACAGTGCATGCATTAAATGCTCATTTAATGCACCCCATGCTACGTAGAGTAATTGCAGATGATTGGCCGGAATGTCAGGAATACTTTATCCCAAAATAGTAACCCGCCAACTTTACCGGGCTCTACTAGTCAAGTCAACTGATCGCTCATTTAATGCAGTTGTCCTCCTACTCCTCCAACGGGAAGACAACCTAAGTATAAAAGATACACTACGAAGAACAACCGGATAACTTTGCAACCTTGATTCAACTTTGCTATCACATTGCTACAAGCAAGACATTCAAACTCTGAAAAGCAAAAAGCCTCCTTGAGATTCAAACTCATTATCCTCTACGAGAGAAGGCAGAAGTTGGAAAAATACTCTTTCCAACTCAAGCAAAGTTCCAAGTGTTCTTCAACTCTTCAAGCTCATCACATACAAATCCTTTGTAACGAAGCTAGTTGGAGGAACCTCAGTTTCAACAGAAACTCTTCTTGCTACAAGAAGGACGTCCAAATAACTGGAGTAGTGAAGTGGTGATACTTCAAGGAAACTCAGTGAAAGGACCAGTGTTAAAGGAAGCCAGGCAGTGCATCCCAGGACACATCTAGGCTTGAAGAAGACGTGAAGTGCTTCTTAAGTGCTAGGACTAAGGCTTTGTAAACGGCAGTTTTTACAGCTTAGTGGAACAGTGGATTAGAGGAACGAGTTGTTCCTTGAACCACTATAAAAATCCCTGGTGTCGTTTACTTACTGCTTTTAATACTTGCACTTAGATAGAACTGTATAACTCCTTGGACTTGGTATCTGTGTTCAGCAGAACTTGTTCTACGAGTTAACAGAAGGCCTTCTGCCTTTGCTTCTCTGAGGCTAACAGAACTCCCTGCCAGAACCCCATCCGCTGCCAATCTGTTCTTTCAACAGAACAGGCTATTCTGTAAATCTGGTACTTAGTTTAAAAAGCTAAAAACCAATACAGTCTATTCACCCCCCCCTCTAGACTGTATCCAGTATAACCGGGACCAACAGTTTCGAACAAAACTGGATTAATAATCGAGTAAAAATTTTACCTGTCAATCCATACCATTAAACCTTTCCACATATTCATTATTTGTTCCCTTCGATCTAGTTTTATTTTCCTTTATTATTTTTGTAAGAAGTAATTAACTTGTATATTTGGCATTTAGTAAAAAAAATATTAAAAAAGACAAAGATTATTTACTTTAAACCAGAAAGAAATGAATAGGATTTTTTCAGCAAAAAAAAAAAAAAATAGGAAGAGCATTTTGGGATTATGAGTTAAATTTTTTAGGTAAAACAATTCAATTTAAATACGGACTATGAATTAAGACGACAATGGTATCCGTTCATAAGTTTTGACTGAAAAAATAATTTGATATAATATTAATTTTCATTTACACTTTGGAGTATAAGATATATACATATATTCCTTTTATACAACGTAATGATTTCAATTTTAATTTCCATTCTTTCACACGTTGAATCTGTTATCTCGATTATAATAAATGCATTTTATTTTATTTTATTTTAACTTACCCGTTTCGGTAAATTATCTCACCGATTCTAGGGCCATATTTGTTATTAATCAATTCATAAATGGATTAAATTTGATTGAAAACTGGACCCATCCATAGGAAAATTGGGGTTTCTACTAAAAAAATTGGATCCAAAATTAGACATCATTTAAAGGAAACGGTGCAGGCTTCATCGGTATTAAATGAGCACATGTTACAGAAATATAATATCGACGTGATAATTTTCTGCACATGTACCATTATTTTCTTTTATTGAATGGAAATAAAATGGGACCAAATATTGAACATTATTTATACGAAGTACATCGTAAGGGACCGGACATTGAATATAAAGAAACTTATGATGAAGGCTTTTTATTGATTCTTCTGTCGTCTAATTGAAATATTCGCTTTTCAGCGTCAAAACTACAATATTAGATTAGATGATTTTAAATTAAATCAAATTTAATGAAATTATATTTATATGGAGATTTCCCAAAATAGGAGTAAATGAAGTTTGAAATTTCAAAATAGGACCTTTATGTTTTTATTCCCGAAATGAGACTTGTATGTCAGTATTTATTGTCATCTTATAGGCGTAAATGCCAAATAGTTACAGGACAATGCATTTAAGATGACAGTTTTTATTATAATTAATGACAATATTTTTTAATCATGACAGTATTTTTAATACAAGACAATAACAACTCCTATTTCAGGAAGAAAAATACATTAGTCCTATTTTGGAATTTCAAATCTCATTTGCTCCTATTTTGGACAATTTCCCTATTTGTATTAGTTGTACCATAGAAGAACAGACAAAAGCATAGCAACAACATAGATCACATTGTATCTTACTTGAATGATTAAATCATAATAAAATATAAATAATTTCATACCCAGCATATTATATTACACTCGACCACACTTGAATAGGGCAATCTAAATTAGACTAGAAGATAATTGTAAAGTTGAATGAACTGTTCCAATCGATAATAAGCAATGAACACACAAATGGGGGGCAAGTTTTAGTAATACGTAAAATGCAAAGTGATGAATTTTTGGTGGTATAAAATTTTGGTTTGTCAAAATGCTACTCCTTATTTCAATTCTAAATCTGATTCCATTGTAAACTTAGTTCCTGCGTAATAAAATTTACATATTGAGAAACTACATTAAAACCGCTACAAAAGTTGATAAAAAATATATAAATTTGATAAAAAAAAATTGATATATAAAACATAAGATTAAGAGTAATTTAAGTTAGACCATATGAATAGTGACTGTGAAGTTCATTTTGAGACGGAAGGAGTAAGTGTTTTCCTTTTACAAAATAGAAAAATGGTGAGTTATGCCATTTTTGTATGAAACTTTAATTTAAAATATTGTGTGAGTAGCGAATTTGAAGTCTTTTACAGGTAAAATATGGAGTAACAAAATGTTATATTGAAATCTTGATGTACACTTTTTATCATGTTGATCTCTTAAGATAGAACTCCAGATCTTAACAATAACAACTTTTCTATACATTTTATAGAAAAAAATCACTAATATTTCTCTAGAAAAATTAGTGGATAAAATGTGACTTAATAACTTTAAGACACTATAATTGTATTCAAAATGACTCCGTACTATACTATTTTTAGTACTCCCTATGATGTAAACATTGAACATAGTAGTAATGAAAAAGAATCATACTAACTCATGTTCATATTTTACACTTAAGTTACTCTTTTTTTAAAGAGAAATTTAAATTACTCTTTAAAAAATTCATTTTATTAATCAGCATACTCTATGAAAAATTAAAAACTACTCCTATGTATCTTTAACCAGCACTCATGTATGGGGTATTAACATCATCACGATAAAAAAAATGATTGAATCTAATTCATATAGTATTTTAGTTTTAACATTATATTTATCATACATATTTTAAATCGTCACACAAAAAAAATTTGACAATAACAAATCTACAATGATTGGTTTTTTAATTTCGATTTTTAACATCCATGTTATTGTGACAAAACATAATGTCTGGTGTGATTCGGAGTGTTTTGTGAAAAAAGACAATCTGTTCAACATTTTCATTCTTGCCAAGAATACGAAAGAATCATCCTTTTATAACAAAAAAAAAATCATAAAGTCAACGCCTCAGTATAATATGCTTTGCTAGAAACTCATTTATAGAATTCCTAATGCCTGCATTATATTTATAGAAATTACTCAGAGTAAATTAAAAACGTTTAGAAAATTTTAAAATAGAACTTTCATGTTTTTATTTTCTAAATAGAAGTAATTTTAACAAGTTTGAAAAAATGACATATTTAATGTCTAGTAACATCAAACTTGACAGAAATTTACTCACTTTCAAAAATAAAACATATAAAAATTCTATTTTGGAATTTTAAAACTTTTTTCACCAAATTCTCTCTTATATACTCGGTATGTTCTTCTTAAGATGGCGGGAAACAACGAAAAAACCGCCTTAATTCCAGCAAGGGATCGATATGATGACTTTTTGTTGACTTTTTCTAGAAGGTCAATGGCCGGACAATTATCCGGCAAATCCGGTAGAAACATACGATCAGATCAATGCTTTATCTCCAAAAAACGAGCAGTTTAGTTGCTACAAAAAAATGATACTAATAACATTTAGCAAATGATTATTCTAAAACAAATCAGCATTTCCATAGTCAACCCCATGAATGTCGTCGAGAAGCCAGCTCTCCAGCATAGCCGACAACGGGATTTGCGGCTTGCTCTCGCCGTGAAACATGCCGCCGGCGCCATCTTCCGGCGAGGCAGACTGGGACAACTGGTCGGACGTCATGGAAGTGTCAAACCCAAACAGGGAATCGAACGCTTCGTCCAAACAAATCTCGTCCTGTCGGGTAGCATCATCGGAGGATGAAGAGGTGTCGGTGACGGCGGTCATACCGGCGGCGTTGCTATTAGAGGACACCTGATAAGTCCCCGTCGACGTCGAGAAGGACTTCGCCGGAGCACCCATCCACCCCTTGAGCAATCTTGCGATGTTCTCCGCGCTGGAGGCGTACAAGGCGGCGGCGTTGACGTTGTTATTATTACACTGCAGCGGCGGCGGCGGCGGCGCGTGGGAGGTGAAATCCACAGGTAGCAGAGTTCTGTGATGGACATCCTCAAGAGTTAATAAAGCATCATTTAGGGCTTGTTTGGCTGTGTTTATATCCGCTTGAAGCGTCCTCTCCCACTGGCCCTTTGAGGAAGACCCAGAGATTGAAGATGAAGAGGAGAATCTGTTATTAAGCTCAGCGGAAGACAGACCACAATAATCTTCTCCCCCGCTTTCAACCATTCTCAGCTTTTTCTTCAGATGTGTATTCCAGTAGTTCTTTATGTCATTATCTGTTCTCTCTGGAAGATAAGATGCAATGGCAGCCCATCTGCACAAAAATTAAACAAAACCCCATCAATATTTAATGCCCAGCGTTCATTTATTGAGTTCATTAATCTGTTCATTTGTCAGATTTTTTCTCACATGCATAAAAATGGTGTAAAACTAAACATAATTATAGTTATAAAAATTTACATACTCTGTACTATCTTTATTTAAAAATATATTCATCTCTTTTTTTTATTCATTTCCAGATCTACACCGACAAGAAATTAAAAAAGCAAGCCGGATTAATGACTATTAAAGGTTATTATTGCTTACTTGTTGCCAAGGAGAGCCTGAAGCTGAATGATCATCTTCTCTTCTTGAAGAGTGAAGTTGCCTCTCTTGATACCTGGCCTGAGGTAGTTTGTCCATCTAAGCCTGCAACTCTTACTGCATCTTCTCAAACCTGAAATAATCACATGCATATACCAGAAATTTATTATTAATTATGATTTCATTTCATGTAGAAATCTTGGGCAACTAGCATATACAGAAGCAGAACCACAGATATAAAAGGAGGGGGGAAAGAACATACCAGTATTGGAAGGAACACTTCTCCAATTGCCAGGGCCATGTTCTTGAACATAAGAGACAAGCATGATATCTTCCTCAGGAGTCCAAGGCCCTTTCTTGACCCCCTGTTTGTCACAGCATGGAGGCCTACCCATATCAGTTCCTAGCAAGAAAAACAGGATCTTTCTGTTCTTGGTTCTTGTCTGTTGTGAAACAGCTGGCTGGCTGGCCGGCCGGAGATTTGATGAAAAGGTACTTTCTTGAAATGACGATGATTTCAAAAGGTGGAGTTTGTTTGGGGGTTGTTGGTTTGGTTTGGTTTTTACCTATGAGGGAAAGGGGAGGGGAGGAGGATATATAGAGAAATGTGTGGGACGCTGACTTGATTGGAGAAAGAGTGGGGTGAAGTAAATGAAAGAGTGTGCAACGAAATAGTCAAAAGGTGACAGCAAGCGCAGTTACTACAGCACGAGGGTGATGGGTTTCAATACAGAGAGAAAGAGAGAGAGAGCAGAAGCAAAGTCAGCCCCCTTTGCCTCCTCGAAACCGCGTCACATTCAATTCAAGGGTTTTATTACTTACGGCCCGGTCCCTAGGTAGTATAATATTTGGGAAATCTTGGGTTATTTCATTATTTGTGGATCAAACGGCCGAACGGCTATGGTATGGAAGAAGATTACTCCTTTTCTAGATGATGGATGAAAGGAGTGTGAATGTAATCCATGTGTGTGGGTCCCACGATCGGTCGGACAGTTATCCGAAGACCTATACTTAAGATAAGAGTAATCATAATTTGATTAATAGATGAAAGGAGGGTCAATGTAATACATGTATGTGTTATAGATGAAAGGAGTGTGAATGTAATACATGTATGTGGGTCCCATGAGGTCATGCTCGGTCGAACACTTATCCAAAAAGCTATAATTAGGGTAATCGCAATTTGATTTATCGATTGTGAGACTTGCAATTGATACACTCACGAATTCCTTGTTGAGGAAAGTTCTTTGTTGCGACTAATAAAATTTACGCTTACTTACACACTCTATCAATCGATTGAACTATAGATAATAAAGAAATGAGGGGAATTGGCAATGGTTTAACAAGAATACTCCATAAAGTGTAATTGAGTTTTTCTTCCATTGATGATCATATAGTGTCTTGAGATTTTAGACCAAGGATTGTTTTGTATCATATTAATTGACAGTGTATTGTAAATTTGAAATGTTTGAATCGCCTATAGTTAACAAAAAGAATATTACATCATGTTTGAATCCATGCTTTTGACCAAGGATTGCTTTGTATCATATTACTCTCATACTCAACCCTTGACTCAATTTATTCAAACTAATACCTGATCTGATTTGAGTCACACTACTTTTGTTGTGGGATAGTCTCCCAACTTTACCATCTCCTCCCCAACACTCCCCAAGAGTACACACACATATATAAAGATGTTTTCCTAAAATATTCAACATAACTAAGATAAAATTCATTAATAAGAATGTGATTAAAGTAACTTTTTTATGGTCACTATCATGTGGAACTAAACATACTTAAAGTCACTATAAGTTGCTAAATCACATGTTTGTCCACTGCTTTATTTTGGTCATATATAAAGGATTGTTTTATAAAAACGAGAACTGAGCATGGATACATAAACAATGACATGTAATAGTCATTTTCAATGATTAAAATTAGGCATTTAGAATGATTTTTCATAAGAAAGCAATGTTCTATAGAAGCCTCATTATTGTCTCTCTCTTTCCTCATTTGGGTTTACATTGGGTTAACAACAAAATGAATCTGTTTCCATACCTCATAAGAAGCACCTAGATTAGGGATCCATTTACTTGGTTGTTGCAGAATTGAATTGCTTTCATGATCGAGCAAGATCACACCCTTCATTGCGAACCTTTACACATGTTTCTAGAGCAATTCAATTAGATATGGTACCAAACATATTATCCCACAAGTCCCCCCCCTCCCCTAACCATAGTATGAAACAATCCCCAAATATTTTGGTTAGAGAAGGCATGTGTACGTCAAACGTGAATACCATAAGGCCAAGCAAAGAAACCCGATCATGAGTGAAAGAAAAAAACTAGCCCACTAAAATTGCTGAAGATGTGTTCAATGAATTTATTCTAATGTGTGGATGTTAATTAGCCACACAAATAAGGCAAGTGGGAGCAACTAACAATATTGATAGTCCCAGTATTTAAACAATCAAACATTCATAGCAGTTAGAAAAGAAGCAGATAGAAAGATATCGAGAAGATTAAAACCAAATCTGGTATACCGTATAAACCGGCCGCTGTTCTCCCTGGAGAAGGAGAACAACGGCAACCTTAATCTCTCTATCTCTACGCTTCTTGCGCTCTCAGCCTCTTTCGATTGTTAGGGTTCCCGTAAGTTAGCCTCCTTTTATAGGAGAAGTTAGCTAACTTACGGGTTACAAGGAAGCCCACGGGCTGATACACATTTGTGGCCCGTATTACACGTTTAATTAATAACTACACAAATACAAAGATATTTAATTAGATTGGACACCATAAAATATTCCTAACAATCTCCCTCTTGGTGTTCAATCATGTTCAATCAGCATTGCAGCGCGAATATCTTTGTCTTTGTTGTTATTCAGCTTCCTTTTACTTTGAACTTGACTTCTGAGGAAGGCTATCGGAAGAAATCCTTGCAATCTTCCCTTTGATGTCTTCTTGGCAATTTGATATTTGATGCCGGGGGTTGAAGGATCCTCAAAATCTTGCATGTAGTCCTTGCCTTCCAGAAGTTGCTCTTGATCAGCTTGGATGAAGTCCGGTGACGCCTCTAGAATGAATATTCTTTGGAGAATAGGAGACGCCCATGGAATTCATCTTCAGGACACGAGTATTTGACCTCTGTCTCCTCCACAATGTAGTCTTTTTGACTATTTGGAATGAATGCATTTGGGGAGAACTTGTCGGTGGCACAGCGGAACATAATGATTGTTGATTTGTGAGTGTAGCTGACCATTTTCTTTGAGTTGTAGAGATAGCAGAGAAGGTATTGATTTTTGTGATGGAGGAGTGAAGTGTCCTAGAATGATTTGTTCAGTGTTAACAACATATGGACCACTCTCCCCCTCATGACGATCCGATGAATTGGGACGTCATGCTTTTATTCTTTTATTCTGCGGAAATAAAACAGGAAACAAAACAGAAAGAGTAAATGATAAAATCCCCCCCGAGGTCGTGTAGACACCCGTTTTCATCACTATAGAGATAAACTCTAAAGCAATGGCCTGAAAATGTTGGTGATTCTTATGTTGCACCATCAGGACTTCCTTCCAATTATTGGTCTACATCTGTAATAGATGAGCCCTATGGAAGTTCTCGCAAGTCTTGAAGACTAGCAACTGACTCTAAAATGTGTCTGTGTCCTAGAAAATTTCAAAACATTTGGGAAGTGAGTAACTAGACACGACGTGATCAATGAAAGTTCAGTGGCATGGGGCTGAGGCCACTGTAGTCAGTATTACTTGCCTCGTAAGGAGGTAGTAATGAGAGATGCGGTTCCCCGCGAAATATGATTAAACACATGTCTGTTGGGAGACAAGTGAATGGTCTTGGATAGGGTTCAACATGCACTGTTGGACAAGATGCAATGACTTCTACCCGGGATCTGATTAAATCAGTCCTGAACCTATTTGGGAATTGTCCAGAGTATTTGAGTGGCTAGGAGTAAATGTTCAATACATAGCAGGCAGTTGAGGTAGCAGACTCATCATTGATTATTGTTTTCCTTCTCACTTGAGCCTTCTGCTTCCTAATGCTCATAATGTTCACTCACTCACTCGCTCACTCACTCACTTACGCTCGGCTTTGTCCCCTGGGTAGGCTTAGTTGGGTTTACTAAGCCATAGGGACATGTTCTCTCATTACTTTCTTCATTTTCTCTTTTGTACTCCCCCTCAACTGGAGCACTCGGTATGCTTTGTCATTGTTAGGCACCGGGAAGGATAACATTGAACACTCCCCCTAAAATGTTGCATCCTTTGAGAGATTCCATGCTTTGTCGGTGTAAGGCGCCAGGAGGAGAAAACTGAAACTCCCCCTCAGAATGTGCAAGGTTTGATTGCTCACAGCTTGTCATACCCGCCATGTGTGTGGAGCAATCTGAACATGTACCGCACATGACGGTTTCCCTGAGCTCATCATAAAGAATTTCAGCATATTGATGATCACATAATGTTGACGAGTCAGGGGAGGCTTCAGCAGTTGATTGTTGATTGTTGTAAGATGACCGTTGACGCGAGGTTGATTGAATTATCTACGACTTTCGGACCTTTACAGTTAGGTTTAGAAAATGTTTGACCTCAGGGTTGACTTTGAAAGAATTTGAACAGATTTGCCTAAGTTTTGACCTGGACATCGGTGATTTACAATGTTTGTCGGAAAACTAACGTTTGACCCTCAAAGACTGCGAGTGAGGGAGCGTGAGAAAGGTTTCTGGGGCACATCCCGAGAATTAATGTAGATCTTTTCGTTAGCTTTCCCACAAAAAAAAGTTTGCTCAAATCGGATCACCGAGTCAAAAGTTATGGCCTAAACAGTGCGGTGTCGCAGAAAATCTCTAATTTTGAGTTTTTAGGAATTTCTTCGAAGTTGAGGTTCTCGATGATGAATATCGAGAGCAGGTGGATTTTAAACAAAATTCTAAGGCAATACCTCGAAATCCTAATCTCGAGGTTTAAATTTCGAGGTTTAAATCTCGAGATTACAATCTCGAGGTTTAAATCTCGAGATTACAATCTCGAGGTTTAAATCTCGAGATTACAATCTCGAGGTTTAAATCTCGAGATTACAATCTCGAGGTTTAAATCTCGAGATCTTAATCTCGAGGTTTAAATCTCGAGATCTTAATCTCGAGTTTGCCTCAAAGAATAATGGCGAAATCCACCTGCAAAACAAACATCAGAAAATTGAAATCTGCAGAATTTCAAAATGTTTGGAACATCGAAAACTTTGGAGTTTCGAAAACATTAGAAAATCGAAAACTTGTTGTTTGAAAAACATCAGAACATCGAAAACTTCTAAAAACTTTGATAGGCAGAGATTCATTCAGATATCAAAAAATGTAAAGCTTCGAAGTGTTCTGAACAGGAAAGATATCAAGTTTAGAAGAAATCAGTGATTCAAGAAACTCCAAACTTTAAAAAATTCAAAACATCTAGAAATTTTGAAAATCTCGAAATCTTAAGAATGTCAAGATCCTAAACATCGAGATCCCAAATGTCGAAATCCCAAAACTCGAAATTCCAAAACTCGAGCTTTCAAAACTCGAGAT